GTGAGATTGCATCTCCTTTTTTATTCATAGGTTGTTTTTTATTCTTTTTTCCCCAACCATAGCATGCGATAAAAGGAAATGACTCATAGAAAAGTACAGGGAGCGAAGGGGAGTATAAGAAAATAGGAGGAAAATGAGGTGTAAGGTAGGGCCGAAAGAACAGATTTCTCCAGTCAAATGTATGGAAGTAAAATTTTTGAATTCTTTCAATTTGATCAGTCACAATGCATTTTTTCAGTGCCCACGACATATTCTGAATCGTAATCATGAAGTGTTCACGAAATATCTGGAACGAAAGTGCATTGTGCCGTGGAAGAGTTAAGCAGTGTTATTGTATTTTTCGCGTTTAGGGCCTTACGCTATCGAGGAGGCTAAATTGGGTGAGATCAGTGCTGGCCGCACATTGTTTTGCTGAAACTCGCCTTGCTTATTGTAATTTTTGTTGAATTTTCGCATGAATTGGTTTCGGTGGTTGTATTTCTTTCTGCAACTTCTGACCAGCGAAATCTTTGACCGTTGGTCATTTTATCGCCTGCGTTTCTTCAAAGTATGGAGCATTTTACCTGGTATGTTATCAGTCTTTTTTTGTCTTTTTAGTATTAAGCAAAGCGAGGTTTTGTTGATGAATTTATCCGTTAATGCGCTTCCTCTACATTCTGCTGCAATGTTTCTTTTTTTTTTAATCCTGTTTGGGCTTCTTTTTAGAATTTTGAAAAATTCAGCAAAACATCCATACAAAAAATGTGAAGTATGTAGAATTTATGGGGTGCGCTTATGCCCGAAGTTTCTTTCACGTTATTTTCTGGATAGGTAGCGTAGCCATTTGCATTATACTGCCTATGTTTTGCATACATTAGCGTTTCGAACTCGTAGGATATACTGGAGGGGGATATTGTGCTGCATTAGGCGCATATGGCGAGCCATGTTGAATTTGATTTGCAAAAGCGGCCATTCTGTTAATGATAGAAATAATTATGCCTTTCTTTTTTTATTCCACTTTCTTGGCTCTTTCTGGGGATCACATTGTCCACGGATACACGTATCCTCTTCAGATGTTTCTTTGTTTTTTCGTTTTTCGATTCATTAGCACTGGTTCAATAAACAACTGACATATGGCTACTGAACAGGAGCTACGGTCGATGCACAAAGCCGAGGCTTTACATTCACTTTAGAAAAGTATTTCTTTCGCCAAATTTTCGATTCTTTTTTACCATTGAACTGAAGAAGAAGTGAATTTAGGCGGTGCAGGTGTATGGGAACAGTTTTTTCGTCTTAAAGTTTTTGTATGCGGGATAGTCCAGTCAATATGTTTGTTTTTTTCTAAGTTGATCAGGTAAAAAATTTGCGCTCGAACTTATTACTGGTAGAACATATCTGGTCCGTTGGATCATTAGAACAAATAATTGGCCAATGCACGGCTGCCGTACGAAGATGCGTTTTTTTGCATAATTTCCCAAAGTTTTTTTCGCTGCCGGCACCGGTTTTTCCGGCAAATGCTTCTAGTTAAATTAAGACGCCGCCATAACTGTCGGGAACACCCTCTTAAAATTTCAGCTTTTTAGCTTTCCAGGTTCCCGAGTTAGCAACTTACTCGAAAAAAATTCTCACTGACCCGTACGTGGGTACCACGCATACCCGAAAACTGGTTTTGAACTCATTAATACCTGCATGAACGGGAAACACCCCTTAAAGTTTCAGCCTTCCAGCATTCCTGCTTCCCGAGTTAGCAACCTGCCTGTAGAAAATTTTGGCGGGCCCGTACGTGTGTACCACGCTGGTGAAACCGCTCATTTTGGGATGGGGTCCGCACATGCATGTAGATAGTTCCCGAAATTTCAGCCTTTTAGTTTTCGTAGGTCTCGAGATGAAAAATCGGTACATGCGAACACACAGACACACACACACACAACCCCTCGTCAGTATAGTTTTCTGCATTGCATAGATGCAAAAAACGCATAAAAAAGGGACAGGGAAATGGAAACGGGAGTCAGTTAGGATAACGGCAAGGTCGCTGTGACCAGTTCCCGCAAGACATTACAGTTTCAATAGCAAGTCTGAAATGATAGCCAGTTGTTTTAGTGACAGTGGGTGTTCTGTAACGAATGAGCAGGTGGTCGAAATGTTGTATCGTGATATTATTTTTATGTGTTGACTCATGGCAGTATTCAAATTTTTTAGGTGTTTTTGCCGAAGTGTTGCTTTTTCAGACGCGATGACATCCATTGAAATCGAAGCTTCCGAGTGAGTTTTGTGTTTTTAAAAACTAAAATAAAAATCAACCGCATCTGCGCTCTGTGAGAGGCAGAGGACTCGAAATGTAGTCCCACTGATAGCAAATGCCAACAGCAACCGTCCACTGTTAAAGACTGCCGATGACTTCCTCTTTCGAGGGTTGCTTACAAGCAAACTGATGGCGAATCCGTCTTCCTGACATATATCAGTACCAGTTTACCTTCTGGACGAGTGAACGAAACATTGAGGGATTTGTTATCTTCCAGTGAAAACAGTCCATCGTCCTACTGCTGCGTTTTGTTACGCCATGCCCACCAGCTTTTTCTTTAATACTGGGGTCTTTTTTTGGAATTTTTCTTGTTTTATAAAAAATTTTACCCAATCAAATACTCTTAATGTTTCGACAATTGTTTAGTGTTGTGCGACTTGTGGAGCAGTATCTTAAAGAGAACAATCTGATGCGAACATTGGCCGTTTTACAGGTTCAAATTTTTTTTGTTTAGAAATATTCCTAGGTTGTTTAAAAGTATATTAGGCCGACGAAGAAATCGCGCCTAGTGATAATATTGTGATTTAGTTTAAAAAATGCAGAAATGGTTATCTTTCTCACGATAGTTAACCTTGATCAGTTTGCAGCATTGCTGCGTACTTGCTCATCTTGTTTTCGAACTTTTTTTTGGATCGTGTATTATCATTTTTGTGAATATTGAAATTTATGCAAATGCTAAAACCTACTGACAAGAAAAAGAACCTTCGCCCTCGGTCTCATGCATTTTCAAATTCGCAACCTGACAAGCCTGAAAACTGAAATTTTGGGAACTTAACTCCTGCTTCTCTAATGTCTTAGAATGATGAGATTAGGCACTAATTTCTTTGAATTTCGGTCGATGAAATCTTAGATAAATGGGAGCCAAATTTTGCAAATTTTGTGCTTCACACGTTGTTTTTGCGCGCAAATCTGATCCATTGAATGGAGCACTTGAAAAATTTAATGAATACGGTACGACTTCGGTGGCTGGGATTTATGGGAGTTGGGAAAAACACTCCCAAAAATCAGAATGTTTTGACTCGGCAGGCTGCTATATTGTTTTAAGCTAGTTTTTTATGCGTTTTGTGCTGTGTAACAGCAGTACAAAACGCATATTGTTACGGGGTTGTCT